GTTTTCAACGCTATATAAGTAGAAGTAAGTTCATAAGTAGTTCAGTTACTGAAAATCATTCAATAAACACTGTTGATTTTAAAACCTAATAAAACATAAACACTTTTCATTTTAATAAATCTAACTTGCTCTTTGGCACTCACCCATAGTGACAAGACAAGATTAGATTGGATAGGCGGCTTTCTTGAGAGCTCTGTCCACAGCACAATCTATATAAGGCTAAGCACTTGATGGCAAAGTAAGGCCATCTATTTCAGAAACGTGAATTTATTTGTTTATGTTATAATACTTATGAGCCATCATTAAATACAAAATTTACGAAAAACATCTAGCATGAAAACCATTGCGAATATTAAAAATTACTTATTCGATGCCTGAGAGTCTATTTATTACGTTTCAATAAAGTTAATACAATTCAACGCTGAGTTATCACAAATAAGCATTCCATATGTCACCGTTTTTCTCATTTTTTGAAATGACTTAGTTTATATTTTTAATTATAAGTATCCCATAAATACCCATTATATGTAACAAATATACATAAATTAATTTTAGGAATAACGGGTTTAGAAAATGAAGGAACAACTGACACTTTATGTTCCTAATTTTAAAGCACAGCTTGCCTGAAAAAGTAAATTAGTGCAAAATAAATAGCTATTTAAACATAAAATTAAGTATTTTTTATTTACAAAGTTGTATGTGTGCTTATTTAAAGAAAAGGCTCTATACTATACTTCTTAGAACCAGCTCAAAACTAACCAAATCTAGCCCGGAGGTAACCCTTTTTGAACTATCTAGGAACTGTTGTTATATGAACTGTCTCAGAGCCATCTAAGTCAGAGTCAGCTCAGAACAAGTTCAAAAGTTCTGCAGAGGGTGACAATTGTCACTTCGTAGGACATCGCCATGTTAAAAAAGACAGTTGAAAGCATTGAGTTGGGATAGATGAAGAACCAGTACCGCCCCTTTTCGGGCTAGCTCAGCGCAAGTTCTGAACCAGTTTGATTTGCTGCAGGGTGCTTCGTGTACCTACATCCTTTCGTACAAACCAGTGTCCTGAACGATTATGTTAGTATCGTACGAGTACGTTATTAACTAACACTTCTGAAGAGACCACGATGCCAAAGTAGCGAAGTTACTCGGCATCGCCGCATCGTCGCATCGTACGATTAGTAACAGCATAGCCAGCGTTGCCGAATAGACGATTTCGTCGTCATTTTGACGTTTTTTTAGCTCAATGACGTTTTGACGACTTTTCTCCCCGAAAGTACGACTTTTTTTATTGTAGTACATTTGTATGTATAAAAAAAAATTGTTAAAGGAAAACGTAGTCCAAAATACAACCATGCATTTATCTAGTCTTGTTATACAATCGTGCTTTTAGTTATATTTAATTTGTTCTAGAACTGTAACCAAATCGTAAATTTTCACTGCTAACTCTCAGTTAAAAGAGAAAGAAAAATAGGAGAGAGAATTTTTATACCCGAGTGAACTTGTGGACAAGGGTATTATAACTTTGTTCACATAACGGTTGTTTGTAACAGGCAAAACGAATCGAGATAGATATAGACAAATGTATACATAAATGATCAGAATGAAAAGAGAAATCGATTAAGCGGTGACTGTCTGTCCGTCCGTCCGTCCGTCCGTCCGTCTGTGCACACGATAACTCGAGTAAAAATTAAGATATCTTAACGAAACTTGGTACGTGTACTTCTTTCGGGCGTAGGACGGATGGTATTGAAAATGGGCAAAATCGGACAATAGCCACGTCTACCTCCCATATAACGGTAATTTTCAGAAATACAAAAACTGCGATATTTTAGTAACTACTGAAGATTATTCACTCAAAATTGATATTTATAATTTTTAGGCGAAAAATAAGATTATACAATTTTGAAAAATGGGCGTAGCCACGCTCACTTATGGTTACATGTATATATCTTGGCAACCGCTGCACCGATTTCTTCCCAACTTGTAACAGTTGTTCGCCTTGGTACAGCATACCAAATGGCCGAAAATTTTTAAAATCGGACAATAACCACGCCCACATTCCATATAATGGTAAGTTAGAGAAATACGAAATCTTCGATAAATCAGTAAATATTAAAGCTAATTTATTCAAAATTGACGCTTGCAACAATTCCTTACCAAAAAATACGTTTATGATAAAAATTTGGAATATGGGCGTGGCACCGCCCACTTATGATCACATATATGTATCTCGGTAACCGTTCTACCAATTTTTACCAAACTCGGTATGGTTATTGTGCTTGCCACATTAAAGCAAAACGTAGAAAATTATCGAAATCGGACTAAAATTACTGAGCTTTTCATATAACGGTAAATTTCAGAAATGCTTGAAACTTCAATATTTCGAAATTTAAGGACGCTAATTTACTCAAAATTAATACAACCCGACTTAGCAAGTAGCAGTAGCTTTCGGAAAGGTGAGAAACATATATTTAATATTTTCGCCGGGTATTAAATGTTCGGCTCCGCCCGAACTTAGACTTTCTTAGTTGTTTCAATTAAGATAATCGATCAGTTAACAAATGCTTCCGTTACACTTTGAAGCTAGATCAAAATCTTTTAAGAAACCTCAAACAAGTGGAATTAAACAATTTAAAAGCAATTGTGTTTTAAATTGTAATTTTAAATTGTTGTTATCAATTACAAATTAACTTTTTAACCGGCGTCAAAAAAAGGAGGAGGCTATCAATTCGTCGGGATANAAAAATCGCATCTATGGAAGATATACTTTATATGGCACCAATCTAAGTGATTTTCACTGNGCGTCAAAAAAAGGAGGAGGCTATCAATTCGTCGGGATATTATTCTGCCTTATCCTGATTTTCGCCCGAAAAAATATTCACCCGAAAATTTTTCATCCGCCCATAGTAAATACATGGAAACGAAAAATGAAACTCATGATAAGGCTGATTATTATTTTTATACCCGAGCGCACTTGTGCACAAGGGTATATTAATTTTGTTCACATAACGGTTGTTTGTAACAGCCAAAACGAATCGAGATAGATATAGA